ATAGCATACTACCATGGTTAGAGCTTTAGGTAGCTGGCAGAAGAGACAGAGCATGTACAAATTATCTCTTTCATATTGGCAGGAATTGCCAAGTGAGGTCCTGTGCTGGGCTGTCAGTTATTTATAATATGTATCCATGACTTAGATAAGGAGATTGAAGACGTGGCGGCTAAATTTGCAGATAGACAGGAAGGTCTGTTATGAAAATGACATAACAAGAATGCAGGTTAATATGGATAGGTTAACTGAGTGGGCAAAAACCTGGTAGATGGAGTATAATGCTGGAAAGTTTGAAATTGTTCACCTAGGGAGCAACAATAATAAAAAAAGAATATTACTTAAACAGAGAATGACTGCAGAATTCTAAATTCTGGAGGAAACTGGGTGTTTTATTATAGGAGAAACAAAAGGTTAGTAACTAGGTAAGTGAATAAGAGAGCTAATGTAACGCTATCCTTTATTACAAGAGGAATTGAAGATACCAATAAGGATGTTATGCTTTAGTTCTACAGAACTTTGGTGAAATCATGTCTTGAATTCTGTGCAAGATAGCAAGAACTGCAGATGCCGGGATCAGAGAGAACAAAATGTGGAGCTGGAGAAACACAGCAGGCCAGGCAGCATCAGAGGAGCAGGAAAATTGATGTTTCAGGTTTGGACCCTTCTTCAGAAAGTAGGTGAATACTGTGTGCAGTTTTGATCTCCTCATTTAAGGAAAAATATAAATACATTAAAGGTGGTTCAGCAGAGATTTCCTAGATTGATACCTGAAATGAGTGTGTTATCTTATAAGGATAGGTGGATAGGCTGGACTTGTTTTCACAAAAATTCAGTAAAATGAGGAGTCTTTCGATTTAAGTGTATAAGTTCCTGAATGTGACAAGGTGAATATTGAAAGAGTGTTTATTATTGTGGTGCAGTACAGGACAAGGGGACTTTTTTAAAAATTAAAATCTCCCTTTTAGGACAGAGATTTGGGGAATTTTTTTTTCTTTTCAGAGGATTGTGCTACTTTGATCTCTCTGCCTCCAAAAGGTTGTGGAGGTGGGGTCATTGAATATTTTTGAGCGAATGGGAATCAAAAGTTATCAGGACAGATGGGAATGTGAAATTCAGGTTACAAACAGATGAACCATGATCTCACGGAATGGCAGAGCAGGCTTGGAGTGCCAAATGCCTACTTCTGCTCCTAATTCATACGTTCATATTGTAATTCAAAGTACTGGAATGCAAAACCTGAAACAATACTCTGTTTCTCTTTTCACAGATGTTGCCAGAACAGCTGACAAAACCAGCACTTTCTGTATTTTTATCTCCATGACCACACATATTTTTACATTAGTTTCACCATTTTGGGATATCTAATCATCTTTTTCTTCACAGAAGTGATCTGGAATGAGTTGCATTTAAACGAAAGGCAAGAGACAAGGAACTATGAAAAGAAAGAGGAGATGCTGGAAACATTAATCAATTTAGGGAACAAACTAATGTTGGGAATGAGCTGTAATCAGATGGACTTTACCTGAAATGTGTGGTCTAATTGTAGCACTGGAGGAGGCCCAGGATGGGCATGTCACCAAGGGAGTAGGAGGGAGGGGGAAGGGGAGGGGGTGGCGTTTGAAATGGTTAGCAACTGGAAGGTGTTCTTGATTATAGTGTATGGAGTGCAGGTGCTCTGCAAATCTGTGACTGAGTCTATGTTTGATCTCACTGATGTAGAGGAGGCCACATCAGGAGCAATGGATACAGCAGACCAGGTTGGAGGGTGTACGGGTGAACCACTGTCGGATGTGGAAAGTTTGTCTTGGGCCCCGAATGGAGCCGAGAGGGGAAACGTAGGTGCAGGCGTAACACCTCCTGCGGGTGCAGGGAAGGGTGCTGTGTGTGATGGGGTTGGTGGGGAGTATGGAGCAGATGAGGGAGTCGCAGATTGAGTGGTCCCTACGAAAGGCAGATAGAAGTGGGGAGGGAAATATTTCTTTGGTGGTGGGGTCGGATTGTAGGTGGTGCAAATGGCAGAGGATAGTGCGCTGGATGCAAAGGTTGGTGGGGAGTATGTGAGGACCGCGGGGGACTGTATTTATTTTTGTTGGGGGGAGGGAGTGTGAGGGCAGAAGTGCTGGAAATGCAGGTGATGCAGCTGAGGGCATTTTTGATCAACGGAGGGGGACGTTGCGGTCCTTGAAGTAGGAGGACATTTGAGATGTCTGGGAGTGAAACACTCCGTCTGGAAGCAGATGCGGTGGAGGTGGAGGAATTGGGAGTAAAGGATCACATTCTTGCAATAGGGGTGTGAAAGGAGGTGTAGTCAAGGTAGTTGTAAGAGTCAGTGGGTTTGAAATAGATGCTTCCTCCAGTGCCACAAATATGCCACACGCAAACTGGAGGAACAACACATTGTATTCTTCCTTGGAGACTGCAGCCTGATGGCCTAAACATAGAATTCACCAGTTTCAAAATCTCTCTACCCTCCCCCACTGGCCTCATCCCGTATCCAACCCTCCCTCTCATCCAAACCTCCTTGACCTGACACTAACTATCCACCCCACCTTTCCCACTGACTAATCCTCACTACCCCTTCTTGCATCCACCTATCGCCATCCCACCTACCTTCCCCCAACCCCACCCCTCTTCCCTCTATTTATTTCTAACCTCCCTTCTTCCTCCCCATTCCTGATGATGGGCCTAGGCCCGAAACATCAACTGTCCTGTTCTTCTGATGCTGCCTGACCTGCTGCATTCCTCCAGCTCCACACTGTATTGACTCGGACTCCAGCATCTGCAATTCTTGTTATCTCTGCTTTTCTCTTTGCAGATGCTGCCAAACCTAATGAGTTTCCCCTGCACTCTGTTTTTAACTGCAAATCTATTTACTACTTGAGATAAATATAGAGCAAAGTGATTTTAAAACAAAATTTTCTGTATTAATGTGATCTTGCATCGCCAATTAGTCTTTTAAAATTATGATCTTTGAATTTCAGAATTATGTTAGTCATATTTCTGCAATCAGTTTACTAATGAAGAAATTGAAGAGACCCTCACCCCCATTAATTAGAAACTGGTTTGCATTTCAGATTTAAGAGATCAAGTTTCAAATCTTCAGATCAAAACATTAACTTGGTTTTTCTCTCTACAGTTGCTGCCAGACCTGCTGAGTTTCTCCAGTACTTTGTTTTTGTTTCAGATTTCCAGCATCCACAGTTGTTTTACTTCAATGGCTTGCAATTCTGGTATCCTAATCTTCAATTAGCAGTACATTCTTGGTTCAATCACTAACTTTCCAGAAACTTACCCTAAGCAGTCTGAAAATCAGCTGAAAGTAAAATGCTGCATATGCTGGAAATCTGAAATAAACATATGAAATGTTTGAGAAACTCAGCAGGTCTGGCAGCATCCATAGAGCGAGAGACCAAGTTAATGTTTTGAGTCTGATATAACCATCCTTTGGTTATGAGACCCCATGAGCCTGCTTGGGTGGATGTAAAAAAATCCTACAATAGTATTTGAAAGAAGAGCAGAATGTTATCTCTGGTGTCCTGGCCAATGTTCATTCCTCAATTAACATCACAAAACAAGAGATTATCTGATTATTATTACACGGCCGCTTAAGAGGATCTGCAGTGTGCAAATCAGTTGCCATTTCCCACTCTTTAACAGTGACTATACATCAAAATTGGAAGTAATTAATTGCTAAAACTGCTTCAAGATGATCGTGGATCATGGAAAACCTTTTCTAATGGAACTCTTTAAATGTTTGTGCAATTGTTTTGTATAGACCTGGGTATTGGAGTACTGGCCAGCAATGTTTATTACTTTTGGGGACACAGACATAGCTGATGGTTCATTGATGCCTTACACAATAGTACTGCAGTTCCAGCAGCAGTGAACCTTCAGCATTCTGCAAGTTACCACTTGGATTTTGTTCGAAACCACAGATTGAGCATGGTTGTCTACCAAGCATATACTAGCTTGTCAGTTTGAGATTTGTGCACACAGTTTGTGGATTTCTCAATGATTCTCTTTAATGTTGGGATGTTCTATTAACGAGGCAGATTTCAGCCTAAGACAGCCACGATATATTGTGTAAGGAAGATATAAAAACATCCATTCTGATGGATCAGTATAGAGTCATACAGCATGGAAACAGAACTTTCGGTCTAACCAGTCCATGCCGACCGTAATCCCAAACTAAACTAATTCCACCTGCCAGCGCTTGGCTCATATCCCTCCAAACCTTTCTTATCGAGATGTGCTTATCCAAATGTCTTCTAAACACTGTAACAGTACCCACATCCACCACTTTCTGTGTAAATTTATTCCACACACTAACCACAGTGGTTAAAAAAAAAAATTCCCTCAAGTCTTGTTTAAAACGTTTTCTCCTCTTACTTTAAGATGAGTGGAGTTAATCCAAGTTTAAAAAATTAAGCATAATTTGCATTTCAGTGGTAGATATTCTTAATTAGCCTGTTCAGAGGTTATGACACACCTCTACAGCACATAGAACTTGAAGCCCAGAGGGCACTTGAAGGGTATACTTTCGAAATCTGGAAGTACATACAAGTATTCTTGCAGGATGAGATGGAATCCACTTTTTAACCAATTAATCAGCATATGTAGTGAGATCTTCCTGTATCATTACAATGGAGCTTTAGTCTCTTCTGCTCTGCAACTGCTATCTTAGCACTATTGTCAGTAGCAGCATTTGGGCTATTATCCATGAAACTGCTGATTCGTGTAGTATGTACGTACTGTTAATTCCAAAATAATTTCTATTGTTTCCCTCCCTACAACTACAGTCGGAGAAAGAAACTGTACAATAATGCCTGCCCACTCTAATCCCACATGATGCTAGTGTGGTTTCTTGTCCCTCAGCTCTGAAGCACATATCTGTAGTATAAATCTGTAGTATAAATCTGTAGTCTATGTAGTGCAAAATGCACTGAAAAAAATGAACACAAACAAAATATTCACCACAACACAGTTAAAACTACCATCTCTGCATTTCTATTGCTTTATTTTTCCAGAAAGCAAACACTTAAAAAATTATAAATAAAACAGGAAACATAAGTAGTGCTTAAGTAGTATAGATTCATTTTGGAAGGTCGAATTTTGAATGCAGAACACAGGGTTAATGGCAGGATTCTTGGCAGTGTGGAGGAACAGAGGAATCTTGGGGTCCATATTCACAGATCCCTCAAAGTTGCTACCCAAGTTGATGGGGCTGTAAAGAAGGTGAATGGTGTGTTGGCTTTCATTGGCAGGGGAAGAGAGTTTAAGAGCCGTGAGGTAATCCTGCAGTTCTATAAAACTCTGGTTAGACTACACTTGGAATATTGTATTCAGTTCTGGTCACCTCATTATAGGAAAGATGTGGCAGCTTTAGAGAGGGTGCAGAGGAGAGTTACTAGGATGCTGCCTGGACTGGAGGGCAGGTCTTATGAGGAAAGGTTGAGAGGGCAAGGGCTTTTTTCATTGGAGCGAAGAATGAGGTGACTTGATAGAGGTGTATAAGATGATGATGAGAGGCATAGATAGAGTGGATAGCCAGAGACATTTTCCCCAAGGCGGAAATGACTATCACGAGGGGGCATAATTTTAAGGTGATTGGAGGAAGGTAGGTTTTTTTTCCACACAGAAAGTAGTAGGCGTGTGGAATGCACTGCCGGCAGTGGTAGTGGAGTCAGATACTTTAGAGATTTTTAAGCAACTCTCAGATAGGCACATGGAAGATAGCAAAATGTAGGGTATGCAGGGTAGTTTGATCTTAGTAGGATAATAGGTTGGCACAATATCATGGGCTAAAGGGCCTGTACTGTTCTATGTTGGCAAATATAGGCTTCAACTACTTAGTCAATGCAGTCATTTTTGGCTAGAAAACTGTTGGCACTATGCTTGTAGTTTCATTCTTATAAAACTAGGTTTTCCAAAAAATTTGTGTTCTGTTTTTGGCATACTATGAATAGTTTTTCAGATACCAAAAGGCAGTTTTTGATGGAGTTAAAACCCAGTTACTCAAGAGTGGCACATGAAGTATTCTCCCTTTGTGTCCAGCTTCTGCACTGCCACGTGGCTTTTTCTCAATAGAAGAGGCCAGCAACCAGCATCTGAAAGGATTCCAAACTCCTCTGCAAACTAGACAACTGCTACAAACTTGTCTGTGTGTTGTGGCATTGGTTCAGGTGTTTGTTTTTCATAAGAGCAAAGTAGAAAACACAACAGGGGGTGGGAAGTAGTGTTGCTGCAATGTCACTGGACTAAAAATCCAGAACCCAACATTACCATTTTGGAGACATGAGTTCAAATCCCACCACAGCAGGTGGTATAATTTGAATTCAACAAAAGTCTGGAATAAAAACTTAACCCCACATCATCTGTGTAACCACTGCTGATGGTTGTAAAAACTCATCTGGCTTACTTCAGGGAAGGAAATCTACCATCATTTCTTGGTCTAGCATACATGTGACTCCAGCTCTACAGCAATGTAGTTCAGCCTTAACTGCTGTCTACGCAATAAGGATACACCATAAATGCTTACCTACCCAGTGACACTTACATTCCCATTAAATTTGTTTTTAATGACAGGCAGTATAATAGGATTTAAAACAAACTGCAAGTTAATACTGTATTTCAAAAAGAAATTCTGCAATGGTCCTCTGTGCATAATTTTAGCAAAAGCTACTTTACTCTCTTCATAGAATCCCTAGTGTCGAAACAGGCCCTTCGGCCCAACAAGTCCACACCAAACCTTATAGCATCCCACCCAGACCCATCCCCCATAAACCCACCTAATCTACACATCCCTGAACACTATGGGCAATTTAGCATGGCCAATCCACCTAGCCTGCACATCTTTGGACAGTGGGAGGAAACCGGAGCATCCGGAGGAAACCCACGCAGACACGGGGAGAACGTGCAAACTCCACACAGTCAGTCACCTGAGGGTGTAATTGAATCCAGGTCCCTGGCGCTGTGAGGCAGCAGTGCTAACCACTGTGCCACCATGCTGCCCACGGCCCTCTTGTTATCTGCACGTTGTAACACGACCACTGACACAGGTATTAGGGGAAATGTTTAAAAACCTGCTCACAACATAACTTGTATGACAATTTTTTAAAAAATGCTGTTTTGACTAGGTTGTCTTAACTTTTTTTTTGTTTGGTCATGGGACACTGGCATCACTGCTGGTCAGTTTTTATTGCCCATCGCTAACTGTACTTGAGGAGATTGTGATGAGCTACCTTCTCAAACTGTGTAGTTCATATGCTGTAGGTAGACCCACAATGCCCTCAGGGAGGGAATTCCAGGATATTGCCCAAGTGACAATGAAAGATGTGATATTTCCAGCTCAGGAAGTAAAAATGGGTAGATGTAAAATTACACTCACCAATTCTTTCCATCATTTGAATTCAACTGTCTTTGATCCAAAATTTAAAAATAAAATTGCCTACTGCATTAAATCACTTGCCTGGTGTCTGATTTTCCCATAGTTGAATCAAAAGTTCGAAACTTCCTGATCAATTTTATGCTAACTATACTGAAAAAATGCAGGGCTTTTCTACTGTTTGATTTGTAGAAATTTCAAAATTTGTAATCTATGTTTGAAAACAGACAAGTTTGACAAAAATATTTACAAATTATAAAAAAAAAAAATCACTGTATTGAACCCAAGTGCTGGAAATGCAGTCTAACATTTAAGTTACAGATGCTTTTTCAGATCAGTTTAAAGGATCGAGACTTAAAATAGTATCCTTCCTTTTCCATGACTAGGTGGACCTTGTAATAGAGTCACAGAGCATGGAAACAGACCCTTCGGTCCAACTAGTCCATGCCAACCATGCTCCCAAACCAGGAAGCCACCATTGAAGAGCACGGAGATTTTGGAGGACTGTAGAGCTGGCAGCGATTACAGAGGGATTTAAAAAACACAGACAAGAATTTAAAATCCAAGTTGCTGCTGAATTTACTGAATTCGGAAGCAATGGTATTCAGCAAACACAGGGGTGATTTGGAAACTGAACCTGCCAAAGAGAGGTTTGGATGACCTCCAGTTTATGGAAGTAAAACATGGGAGACCAACAGGGAGCATTTTTGTTATTCATTCGTGGGATGTGGGCATCATTGGCTAGGCCAGCATTAAAGAGGATGGGGATGGGCCTCAGTGCAGAACTAAAGTCTGAACATTTCTGTATTTGACAAAATTGCTGGAACACTTAGTGAAAAAATCCAGCCAGTTTCAGACAAGCCAGAATGTTTAATCACCCAAGGATGATGTTTTCTCAGGATCACGTTACCACTATGAGTCATGAATACACAGGCTGAATCACCAGCCACGGATTTTGGAGCATCTGGGTAGCAAGTCCCTAAGACAGTGGGATCTGGATTGCAGGAGTTGCTTCCTTTTCTTTCCTTCTCTGCCCCATATTTCCTTCTCTACAAATGCTGCCAGACCTGTAGAGTTCCACCAGCACTGGTTTTATTGTTTCTACAGGAGTTTTGCCTGAATGCTTGTGGAGTTAGTTCGAAGGACATTAGATTTTGTTTGACCATCCTCCCATTATCCTAAAGTGAAGGCATTGCTAATAGAATTCCTCTCTCACTCTTATGATTAAACATGAGGGGGGAGGAAATGGATGTTCTGGCTTCCTTCTTTATTTAACTTGTCCCTCGGTTGGGCACAACACAGTTAATTTAGAAAGGATCCCTCCCTCTGGTGGGCAACTTTTTCCAGCCAAAACATATCTATGTTTTCAAAAGGAGCTACATTAACAGGGTGTTCTGGAGTTAAAGAAAGAGTTAGTTGATTAGCTACTAAGACATGAGAAAGGGTAATAAAATGCGACATATACGCAGATTAGAAATCAGAGGGGAGTTCCAAAAGTCAAAGAGATTATCAATCAGTCTTTGCCTGTCCATAAGAGACTGTGAAATGCCGCAACTATTAAGGTAGGGGATTCCAATTGTGCCGACTGTGGCAGTTGATTAGAGATTCTTGGCTCTATAGTTAGTTGAAATAATATGTCCACTTTCCTTCGAGTAGTTTTGCTGACAACATGTTTATAACAACCTTTCTTATGTATTCCCAGAAGGGTAAAATGCAGAGTGTCTTTCAACCAGAATTACCTTTCTTCACCTCATATGGGCCAAACTAGGGCCTGTTCCCATGCTGTATGATTTTGTCTGCAGTCTGGGTCATAACCTATAGGAGATCAGAGTTTTTGAACAGCATCTCCCTTTGAAGTTCTCGTGACACTTTTCAGGTGCAACATTCCATACCCACAAAAGATTCCAGCCTGCCACTGATTTTACATATACAAGCCAAAAATGGAAGGCTGTCTTACTTTAATTAAAAAAAAACACATTTTCCTCTTAAATGTTCAATATGTCTGTTGATAATTGAGGGTTACAATACATTATCATGATACTGGTGGCCATGATTTTACTGCTAGTTTAAAAAAACTCCGTGCCTTTTTCTTTTTGTGTAAGATAAATATAGAGATTAAACACTGTTGAAGTTTTTCTTCACAAATGTCAAGGTGAAGATGACCTGAATGTCTGCTTGTTTGTTTCTCCTCATCTCCTAAATTCGCATCCATCACCACCTGGAAGTGCTACCTTGTGTTAGTGTTGCTTTGAGTGTCAACATCTCTGTTGTGTCTTCTGATCCACAGATCTAATCTTCTGTTCCTTCCTCAGGCCGATTAAAATAACTTTAGCATGATCACTGCTGCAACAAATCTATTCAGCATAAACAGGAAACTGAAGTTGAGACTTTCCGGTATGTATGATTTAAGTGGTACTTTGGGTAGTTCATTTATTCTATGCAGTTCTAGTTCATTAATTCTTTTGAGGGAAGATGGTGGCATGGTAGCAATGACGCTGGAATAATAACCTAGAGACCCAGGCTCATGCTCAGGAGATGGGTTCAAAATTCTACACTTAAATATAGAATTGAAATCTAATCTCAGTTATGGTGGCCATAAAACTATAAATCAATTGTTACAAAAACCCATCTTGTTCACCAATCTGCCTGACCTCAAAACCACACCAACATAGGAGACTCCTAGCTGCCTTCAACAACCAAACAAGCTCAACAGCAATTACAGTTGACCAAGTAAAACGTTGACCTTGCCAGAGATAAGTACATCCGACAAAGGAAAGAAGTGTTCCAGTTCTTTTGGCCCAAAAAATAGACGCCCACTAATTGTGAATGTCACAGAAATGGCTTGATTATCATCTTGGCAACAGCAGCACAGTCGGTCCATTTCTTTGTTACCAGGTAGGGAGGGTAGATGCAAATTAGTTGTTAATCTCATCACAATCGTCTTTTACCGAAAGTTGGTAACAAAGTATTCCAGCATTACTGACAGTGACAGTCCATCCTGGTAGGTGGTTTTTCATTCTCCATCTTATTCAGTATCAGCTGAAGTTACACACACTGCACCATTAGGATCCACAGAATTGTCAGCTCCTTCATCAGTATTCTTAGGTTCACCTGTAAACAAAAAGAGAAACAGTATTCTACATAAAATGCAGCAAATCCCAACTCTAGAAGGTTTCATACATTTAACTTTTCTGAAAATGGTGAGCACAATCAATAGATTGAATAGGGAGCACAAATGCAAATCGCCCTGAGCAGGATTACTTTTTGTTTTACATCTGTCAAATAACCTCCACTTTTGAAGGTACTAATTTTTCTTGATAGTTACATTAGTTACTTTCTGGTATTTGAACCAATTGAACTTTCTTCACATGCGAACCTACAGTTGCCTTTATACAGCACCTTTGATCTAATAAAATGTCCCAGACACTTCATGGGGGTATGATCAAATAAAATTGGACACTTTCACAAAAGATGTTAAGGGTGAATACGAGAAGCTTGGTCAAAGCGTTAGGTTTTAAGAAGAGTTTTAAAGTAGAATGGGAGATAAAGACAGACATTTAGAAAAGGAATATAGCATCTATTAGAGAAAAGGGTTTAGGGAAGGTGTGGTTCTTGACTGCTAAAAGCATAGTCACAAACAGAATGAGAAAATGACATTCCTGGGCACAAAACTCGAAGAAAACAGATATCTCAGAAGGCTAGAGGCTGCAGGACATTACCAGATGTAGGGATGGGTGAGGTCAAGGGGTGACATAGGTGAAAACAAGAATCAGAATTTAAAGTTGATGGATTAATTAACAGTGAGCAAAGAGTGGTGGGTGAATGGGACTTGCTGCAAATCCGGCTGGAAATCTTTGGACAGCCTCATCTTTACGAAGTTAGAATCTGGAATTCTGGCCAGATAAACTCAGACATTCACATCCAGAAACAATGAAAGGATGGATAAGAGTTTCAGTATGGGCAGAGTTGCATTGTTACAGAGATAGATACAAGTATTACTGGTGATGACACAGATATGGTGAGTAGCTCATCTCAGAATCAACATAACACCAAGGTTACAAACTATCAGCCTCAGACAGATACCAGACAGAAGGGTGGAGTTGGTGGCCAGGGAATGATAACTGCAGGGGCCGGACTGAAGACTTTAGTTTTCTGAATATTTATATGGAGCAAACTTCTGCTCTTACACGACTAGATATTGAACAAGCAGTTTGATAGTGTAGCAACAACGTAGGAACTGACAGATGTTGGTGATATCAAGTTGGGTGTCATCACTGTACTTGTGAAACAGGACGCTACATTTTCAGACAACACTGCTAAGTAAGGACCAGTACGTAGATAAGACAATGGAATGCCATGGAATATAACTATAGGAAAACTTTTTTTTTTTTTTTTTTAAAAATAAACAGCTCCACCTGGCCTTGGCAACCTACTTATACGGAGAAAGACTGCAGAATGCTACAGAAATGAAGTATTTGCAAGTTTTTGTCCACAAATCACAAAATGATAGTAATCAAGATCAATGGGTAATGGTGAAGGCAAATGGAATATTGATCTTTATCTCAAAAAGGATTGGATTAGAAAAGTAGGGAGGTTTTGCTAAACTATACAAGGCACTAGTTAGACTAAGTTGAGCTACTGTGAACAGTTTGGGCCCCTTATCTAAGGAAATATGTATTTGTATTGGAGGCAGCCCAGAGAAGATTCACTAGATGATACTAAGTATTGAAGGTCTACCTTGGGAGGACAGGTTGAGTAGATTATGCCTGTACTTGTTTGCAATATAGAAGAATGAGAGGTGACCTTACTGAAAACATACAAGATTCTTGGGGTACTTGACAGGGTGAACGTGGAAAGATTGGGAGAATCTGGGCCAAGAGGGCATAATGTCAGAATAAGGAATTGCATATTTATGACTGGGACATCAAATATATTGAAGGCTGCGAACAGACAGATTTTTAAATCAGGAAGGAAATCAATGGTTATGGGAAAAAGGCAGGAAAGTGGAGTTCAGGTTTATCAGATCAGTCATGATTTAACTGAATGGCAGAGCAGACAACTGCCCGAACGCCATACTTCTGCTTCTACATCTTATGGTTTTAATAAAGCCAGAGAAAAATAAAGCCTAAGAAGCCCTAGTCAGACAGATCTTGGAGAGCAGTACCCAGGCTCAAGTTGGCACCCCCAAAATTCTTAGGTCCCAAAACAAGTAGTAGCAATCATTTGCCTTCTTAGAAAATTTTACGTTCAAGCTCCACCTAAATCATGTGCAGACTACTCGGGTACTGTATTGCACTGACGTGCAAGCCCTACTCTGTTAGAGCCGATGCCTTTACACTGCGATGTTACATGATTCAAAGAATTCTATAGTACTATTTCAAGAGTCAGGAGCTCTTTTGAAACACTAACCAACCTTTTTCTTTAAACAAACAAAGAAGAAAAAAAAAAGTTATTTTATTACTCTTTGTGGGACTTTTGTGATGTAGAAATAAAAAAAAATGTAGGGAACATAATTTCAAAGTCAGGACTGGTATAAAATTTGACAACATGGTAATTAATGAGCAGGTGCCTCATGGCAGCAATTTGTATGATAAACAAGATGAATTGAAGGAACCTGCCAAAGCTCCTCTACAGCACATCCAAATCTGCTACCACTTAAAGAATTAAGTTGATGATGTTTCCACTCAAGTTTCCCTCCAAATTTCTCATTGTTCCTTCACAGTCACTAGGTCATATCCTGTAATTTGTTGGCAAATGGCATCTTGAATGCAGCTATATCAAACAGATTGCAGAGCTTCACGAGGCAGATCACAGTCATCTATTCAAGGGAAATTTAGCCTTGGCACAGACATCTATATTTCATGGATAGATTAAAACGAGGATAGAAGCAGAATTCTTGACAACAGATAGATCAGAAAGGTGGATGCATGGGGATGCCAGTGAATACAGTCAAGTGTGATAGGATGTGTTCTGGGAGAACAACGGAGAGCTATTATCATTTATTTCAAGCAGTTCAAAGGTAGAGTATTTTGAGTGGGGTTAGGATTTGGTGGAAATAGTCACGAAATATTGGAAGACACAGGGCAATTGATAACTGGTTAAGAAAATGCATGGGATATCTGTCTTTGTAAATAAGAGTTTTGAATATCAAAACAAGAAAGTGGTGCTAAACTGTACAAACTGGTTTGGTTTCGGGTGAAATACTGAGTAGAATTCTCAGAATCACAATTCCAGAAGGTTGGCCAGGACTGAGAGAGGTTACAGAGAACATTTGCCAAGATACCAGGGATGAGGTCAAGAATGAATGAATTGATGCTGTTCCTGATAAGATCAGGGAAAGAGGGACCTACTAGAGGCATTAAATGTTCTCCTTACAGTGGATAAGGAGAAACTTTCCATTTTTTGAAAAGAGCTAGATAGGAAACGAGGACAATCTCCTCTCACAATGAGTTATGTTGCTGGCATATACTACATGAAGTAGTGATGGGATCAGATCCTGTGGGAACTTTCTAAAGACAGCTGAACATATATTTGAAGTTAACTAATTTTCAGTGGTAAAAGAGCTGTGTTTTGCATCTAAATTGGACAGCTCTTTCAAAGTGCCAGCACAGGTTGAATGGGCCAAATGCCTTCTGTCCTGCAACATTCCCTGTATTCTCAGTTGACACCACACAAACACATCTTTGAAAAGAAATGCAGAAGATTTTTTTCAGAAATGCCTGGAATCTTACCCTACCCGCCTTTACAAATAGATCTGGGTATGGTCCAGTATTTTCAGAAGATAATTGAGAAAATGAACAACAAACAATTACTCAGTAAGGACTGTAACGCACTCACTTTGTGTGGGGGGATTTTCATCTCTCAACTCTTCTGGATTTTCTAAGCAAACAGAATCAAAAATACATCACAAACTGAAGATAGGATGATGATTTAAGATTACTGAGGATAGCTTTAGGTTGTTACCTGGTGGCACTGGATTATACGTTGTCTGATGCGAGGCTGTGTCTTGTGTCTCACTGTTAACTAAAGAACAAAAACAAGATTTGGAACAAACTGTGTCGTGTCCATTACAAAGAAACAACAGAAACTTGGAAGAATCAGAAAGCTAACTTTGCATGTAATCTGAAGAAGTCATTATAAAATCCCAAAATTGTACATGTACACGTAATCTTGGGTCACGTAGTGTAATAATTTATCATGAATGACTGATGACAATGAAACACTTCACTTCTGAAATGGAGCAAAACTGATACAGAATCCACCCCTTCCTCCCTATTACATTCTAATTTGTATCCGTTAATCACCAAATACCATTGCTGGTAGTCATGGAACTTAGGAATATACAAGAACAGGCTGAGGCTCTGGGAGGAAAAAAACCAGCCCTCTTTCACAGTATGCATTTTTCCAATCTTCCGGTTCTTACAAGGCTGCTAAATAGATCGTGGAATAAAATACAATTTCATATTCGACTGGAATCTTACAAAATATTTGGATCTGTAACATAAATATTGTTTCAAAGGTTTTTGCTTTCAGTTATAATATTTGGACTTATAGATATGTATTGTAGTCAGAAAAAAATGACATCATTTCTAGGATTCATCAAGGTTTGACCGTCAGCTCCACAATACCCACTAGCCCCACCACCCCGGCACCAATCCCTGCAACCGCAGGAAGTACTACCCCTGCCTCTACACCTCCCCCTCGCCTCCATCCAAGGAACCAAAAAAACCTTCCACATCAGAGGTTCACTTGCACATCCGCTAATGTGGTCTACTGCATCCACTGCTCCCAATGTGGCCTCCTCTACATCGCTGAGGGCAAGCGGAGGCTTGGAGACCATTTTGTAGAGCGCCTGTGCTCTATTCATGACAAACAACAAAACCTTCCAATCGTGAACCACTTCAACTCCCCCTCCCTGGATGACATGTCCATCCTGGGCCTCCTCCAGTGTCACAATGACGCTACCCACAAACTGGAGGAGCAGCACCTCATATTCTGCCTTGGGAGCCTACAGCCAAATGGTCTCAATGTGGACTTTACCAGTTTCAAAATCTCCCCACCTCCGGCATCATCCCATGCCCAACCTTCCCTCTCATCCCCGCCTCCTTGACCTGACACAACCTGTCTATCTTCTCTCCCACCTATCCGCTCCTTCCATCTCACTGACCAATCCCCACCACTGCCTACCTGCACTCACCTATCACCATCCCACCCACCCTCACCAGCCCCCCCCCTCTTTATTTACTTCAGAGCTCCCTTCACCCTCCCCCATTTCTGAAGAAGGGTCCTGACCCGAAACATCAACTTTCCTGCTCTTCTGGTGCTGTCTGACTTGCTGTGTTCCTCCAGCTCCACACAGTGTTATCTCTGACACCAGCATCTGCAGTTCTTACTACCTCTTCCACAGCATGTGTTTTCCAATCTTTCAGCTTTTATAAAGCTGAATAGATCATGGAACAAATATAATTTCATATTCAATAGGAGTCTTATCCAATGTCTGTAACATAAGTAGAGTTTCATACCTTAAAGGATTTTGCTTTGTTATAAATTTGGATTTATGGATGTGAATTGCACTGAGAAATAATGATTTAGTTGTTTATTTCTATGAATGATGCATCCATGTGTATCACTTACTTGACTGTACTGTTTAACTCCAGCATGTCAGATCTCTGCCCGTTTGCTAAAAGATGTGTGAGATAACCCCTATGAGGCCTATGCGGAATCACTAATTATTTTCCTTATGGAGCTCATCAAGTAGGAGTTCCCTTGGTAACAAGCAATGGCTGCCTAGCTGGAACTCCCTTCCCCTGGACTGGAGGCCTGGGTTCAAGTCCTACCTGCTCCAGAGGCATGTAATAATGTCTCTGAAGAGGCTGAGTAGAAAGATAGGTCAAATAAAAAAAGTTGTTTTTTTTTTTTTTTTTTTAAAAATTAGGGGAAAAAAGCACACTGAGGGCCCTTGTGGCTCAATGGTGGTATCCCTACCTCTGAACTAGAAAGTCCGGTTTTAAAGTCCTACCTTTTCCAGAGGTGCGTGATAACATCTCTGGACAGGTTAATTAGGCAGTGAATAAAAAATAAAGCAGACCCACCATCCCTCCACCTTGATGGTTTGCATTGCCCTTAACAGGCTTTACACAAATTATTCGATTGGAAACATGGGTGATTTACTGGTGGTGGTTAATAACAGGGAAAATATACCATGGTGATTTAGTGATGGGAAAAAAAAATTCACTTGTGTGTAATAACACCCTTGGATAAACAAAAGAAGAAAGATAAAGCAGATCCAGGGATGGGTCTGCAGAACTGTTGGTCCTGAGCTGGGACTAGCCTTTGTATGCCACGAGTAGTGTTCAATTTTGGTGTTCAGCAATAAATGATGTTCTTTTCCAGTCAGGCTTCCTGAGTTATTACAGTTGGTTAATTCATTTTGAAACAATGGCTTGATAAATTATTATTCTATAAATGTTTGTAACAATACACAAGTTTTCAGGGTCTTTCAGCATCATAATAGCCTGTGATAAAAATCATTTTTTGTGTCCTTTTGACTATTCCAAAAATATTAGTTAGCCCCAACACTACCTAGGAACATGGATGGGCTTTGTTGCAAGGTTTTCAATCATTTACTCAAAACAGTTCGAAGGTCAGACAGTCAGAAAGTGAGACAGTGAGATGGACAGCTAGAATCAGACTCCATGTTAAGCAGTGCTACTGAGAAGGCCACTACTTCAGTGTAGTTGGGGTTCAGGAAGAAGTCCCAAGAGCAGTTGGATAAAACTGTGAAGATAAGTTGCGAAAGTAGTTCTAAGAGTCAGTAGGTTCAGCTAAATGCTGGAGTTATTGGATTCTATTACAGAGCACCTTGATGATTAGATGATTCAGACAAACATTCTTCAGCAATTTGTAAATGAGAATCATTGCTAGCCAAAACTGATATAAATACTTATCTCCAAAAGGATCTCTTTAAATATTTATGCCATGGTTAATTAGTTTAACATTAAATGTTCTTCCTAGGTGTTTCTATTCTCAACAATAGCTTAATGATAGTTCAGGTTCAGATTGCTAGTCCAGTAACAAAGGATTCAGAGACGTGGGTTTAACTCCTACCATGCCCATTAGAGAGTTTAAATTTAATTAATTAAATAAATCTAGAGCATAAATGGTACCAAATGGTTTTGAAAAGAATTGCATACATTAGAGAAGGAAACTTGCCGTCTTCATCTAATCTGAACGACATCATGCTACTCTAGATTGAAAGCTGTACAGTTCATTCTCAGCCACCTCTCAAATGGTCAAGAAAGGCATTCAGTTGTTGATCACTTCCACCTTCTCAAAGTATTAGGAATGGGCACTAAGTGCTGACTTTGGCTGTAAAGCAATAACTGGACATTGCCTGGATGGGTGGGTTTTTGGTAGTACTCAGAGTTGAGGCTCAGTGTGTGAGCAAGTGAGGACGACGAATGGGCCAGCACTACTTAAAAGTAACTTCAATGTTACGTTAAGAGGAGCATTCCTGTTCCATGATTTCACATTCAAATAAGTATCTTTACCAAATTTTGATTTTGAGGATTTTTCCAGCTGCATATAGACCAACTATTTCTCCTGAATGAAGCCGAGGCTGACTGTCTTGAGGAGAATCAATATTGCAGAGGAGGCTCGAATAGACCCAACTTGCTTTATTCACCCCAGTTAAAAAGAATGTGAACAACACCTATACTAGGGCCTGGATCTTGTTTTGTGAATAAGACAGGAACTGCACCTCTGTGTTGTCTTAACTAAGAACCTACTTAAATCGATTTCATAGTAATATACAAAGACAGGAAGGGGAGCTTGTCTGGTACCCTAGCTATCACTTAATTCTCAATCTGTGGTATTTTGCTGTATGCAAGCTAATGCCACGTTTCTCTAAATTACAAGAATAACTAAGGTGCAACAGATTATTTTGAAGAATGCGAGGTTTCAGTTGACTCCTAAACATGTAATTGAGAAGCACCACAATTCTTTCATAAATATTTTGTACCTGAACTCTAACTCCACACTTACTGTTTCAGAGTATCAGATTCAAGCTTTTGTACAAGATAATTTCAAAAGAAAAGGCAGCTACAGCAATTAGCAAGAGAAAGCTATAATCCATTCTGGACTGTTCTGGGATGCAAACATTTTTTTAAGCAAAGCTGTAAAAATGAACATATTTCGAGAGAACAGGGAGAGTTTCTATGAATACTGATAACAATTGAAGGGATTATGTATCATGATGCATTCGTGTTTTCGAAGCTTTCATATGCCTTAATTTGTATGGTGTCCACGACGGCCAGCAGGTTGGTAATGCGAAGGGTGCGTGTGCGCGTGCGCATGCGCATGTGTGGGGTTAGAACAACAAAAATCAACAGAAAGGATGAAATGTGGCACCAAGTGATGACCAGCATGAGCTTTTTGAAAGTTCCAGCCACTTCACACTGATTATTTAGAATAAGACAAACAAAGGGGCACACTGAGAAATGTATATGATATTTTGTATAACTATCAATACTAAAAAGGTCATGTTCATGCATTTCCTGTCAACTTTAGCCACTTGAAATTCCCAGTGTGCCTTCTTTAAAATGAAAACCGCCCAAGTCTGTCATAACGCGATGCATCAGTACTTTCACTAGAGGTGCAGATTTTTAACAGTTCAACAAGACAGTTTCCATTATAAATTCTGTTATTCAGTTTGTAATGTAATGCAAAGAAACAGAATGGATGACTTCAGGATGGGCATGGAAATAATATCCAAATCCCAGCATTGTTTCACCCCACTTCATCTGAAGTGTCCACTCAGTCTCAATTGCCAGTATGCTCATGGCATTTCCGTGGGTGACTGATGTCCCATGCCACTGTACTTTAACATCCAAGACAAAGTGTGAAATCCAAGGTGAAGCTGGACAAGAACAAAAACAAAACTCAGATTCCCATTTTAAACCCTGCATCTAATGTACATACCTTTATGTAATCACCATAAAAGAAGAAATGTAGGTAAGCAATACATTTTATCAGAAGCATATTTTCTCTAAAGCAGTGGCTCTGGAACTGGGAGTTGAAACTAAGTATCACCACTGGTGGAAGGTGCAATTACAAGGTGATGAGGTTAAATAGGTGGTTTTCCCCAAAGTAACACAGGATTATAGTACTGACTTACTTACAAGAGTGTGTCTAGATACAAAAAAAAACTCATATGAATAGATATAAAGCCAAGTCAAAGGCAAAACATTTAAAGAGGATCAGTTTAGTCAGTAATTGCCATTTGCTTAAGGCAGAGGAGAGATGGATACCTACCCTTCTTTATGATGACCAGCCAGCCCAAGACAACGACCACAAGACAAAGAATTACAGGCAATATCAGATAAGCATAGTTACGACCATTTCCTAAAAAAAAGAAAAAACAAACTAAAGATCAGATTTTCAGGGCAAGATTAACACATTCTGTAGTATTGTTGGTCTGAATCTTCCGATGGCATTAGCGGTGAGCATTTGGACACTCATGGCATTATACATTGAAGAAAGTCCCAATCATGCATAGGAATAGTATTAGAATTTCCAATGGATACAAAATTTGACTCTTTAGCCATTCCGAAAAGCAGTCTGATGAATTAGCAACAAAGAAGAATTTGAGATAGGTGGTGGAAAAGTAAAGCTGTAAGTCGTTAACAATAATGTCGGATCTGATACCTGTGCGAACAGGTAGTGTAGCTCAGGTAGATAAGAATTAGGAGGGGCCACACAAGAACAAAAAACAACTAACTCAGATTCCCATTTTAAACCCTGCATCTAATGTGCATATCTTTATGTAATCACCATAAAAAGACAAGAAATGTAGGTAAGCAATTAATTTTATCAGAAGCATATTTTCTCTAAAGCAGTGGCTCTGGAACTGGGAGTTGAAACTAAGTATCATCACTGGTGGGAAGGTGCAATTACAAGGTGATGAGGTTAAATGGGTGATTTTCCTAAAGTAACACAGGATTATAGTATTGAACCACTTACAGTGGGCAGCATAGTGGTAATATCATTGGTCTTGTAGTCCAGAACCCTTAGAGGTCTGGGGAAAGGAGTCGATTCTCACCATGGCAGAAAGTGAATTTTGAATTCGATAAAAATCTTGAATTCAAGAAAGCTGACTTAATGATGATGATGCAATCATTGATGTCTGTTGCAAAACCCATCTAGTTCATTAATGTTCTTTAAAGGAAAAGCGTTGTCCTTATTGGTCTGGCTTACACATGACTCCTGATGGCAATGACTCTTAACTGCGTTCTGAAATGTCCCTACCAAGCCACTCAGATCCAGGGACAATTAGGGATGGGCAATTAATTATGAGTCCCAAATGCAAAGTACACATTAAATAAAGAGCTAACTGTATAAGATAGGGAACAGAAGCCATTGCAGGTGATATCTTGGTTAATGATTATTTTATTTCGTCATAGCAGTTATTAGTTAGGATTTACAGCAAAGAAACATGATAACTTATCTAATTAACTGCTCTATACTAGTTTTATGGACCACACAACTTTCCTCATCTTTTAATCACAGCTTTGGATGAACCATAGCATAAGACCATAAGATATAGGAGCAGAAATTAGGCCATTCAGCCCAGAGTCTGCTCCGCCATTCAATCATGGCTGATTGGTTCTGAGAAACTTTTCTCCCACTTTCTCCCCATAACCCTTGACAATCTATCTCCTTCTTAAACATACTCAGTGACCTGGCTTCCACAGCCTTCTGTGACAGTGAATTACATAGATTCACCACTCTCTGGGTGAAGAAGTTTCTCCTTATCTCTGTTCTAAAAGGTCTTCCCTTTACTCTAAAGGCTGTGCCCCCTCGGGTCTTAGTCTCTCCTACCAATGGAAGCATCTTCCCAACATCCACTCTGTCCAGGTCATTCAGTATTCTGTAAGTTTCAATTAGATTCCCCCCTCATCCTTCTAAACTCCAGAGTCCTCAAACATTCCTCATGTGTTAAGCTTTTCATTCCTGGGACCATTCTTGTGAACCGCCTCTGTACCCACTCCAGGGCCAGTACCTCTTTCCTGAGATATGGGGCCTAAAACTGTGCACAATACTCCAAATGTGGCCTGACTAGAGTCTTATAGAGCTTCAGAATTACATCCCTGCTTTTGTATTCAAGTCCGCTCAAAATAAATACCAAAGTTGCATTTGCCTTCCTAACTGCTGACTCAACCTGCAAGTTTACCTTGAGAGAATCCTGGACTAGAACTCCCAAGTCTCATTGCACTTCAGACTTCTGAATTTTCTCCCCATATAGAAAATAGTCTATGCTTCTCTTTTTACCAGAGTGCATGACCTCACACTTTCCCATGTTGTACTCCATCTGCCACTTCTTTGCCCACTCTCCTATCTTGTCCAAATCCTTCTGTAGCCTCCCTACCTCCTCAATACTACCTGTTCCTCCACTTCTTTGTATCATCTGCAACCGTATCCAGAATGCCCTCAGGTCCTTCACGTAGATCATTAATGTATAAAGTGAAAAGTTGTAGTCTCAACACCGACCCTTGTGGAACACCACTTGTCACTGACTGCCATCCTGAGAAGGACCCTTCTAACCCCACTCTCTGGCTGTCTGCAAGACAGTCAGTCAATCTTCTATCCAAGCTACCACCTTGCCTCCAACACCATGGGTCCTTATTTTACTCAGCAGCCCCCTGTGCGGTCTCTTGTCAAAAGCCTTCTGGAAGTCCAAGTAGATAATATCCATTGGCTCTCCTTGGTCTAACCTGCTCGTTACTTCCTCAAAAGAATTCTAACAGATTTGGAAGGCATGCCCTCCCCTTGATGAAGCCATGCTGACTTTGCCCTATTTTACCATATACTTCCAAGTATTCAGAAATCTCATCCTTCAAAACGGACTCCAAAATCTTACCCACGACTGAGGTCAGGCTAATCAGCCTGTAATTTTCAGTCTTTTGCCTTACTCCCTTGTTAAACAGGAGTGCCACATTAACGGTTTTCCAGTCCTCTGGGACCCTCCCTGACTCTAGCAATTCCTCAAAGATCACCACTATCGCCTCCGCTATCTCTTCAGCTTTTTGTTTCTATTCATTTGTGGGATGTGGGAGTTGCTGGCTGGCCAGCATTTCTTGCCTATCCCTGGTTGCCCTTGAGAAGGTGGTGGGGAGCTGCCTTCTTGAACTGCTGCAGTCGTCCTGCTGTGGGTTGACCCACAATGCTATTAGGGAGGGAATACAGGATTTTGACCTAGCGACAGTGAATGAATGGCGATATATTTCCAAGTCAGGATGGTGAGTGGCTTAGAGGTGGTGGTGTTCCCATATGTCTGATGCTCTTGTCCTTCTAGATGGATGTGATTGTAGGTTTGGAAGGTGCCGTCGGAGGATCTTTGGTGAATTTCTGCAGTGCATCTTGTAGATAGTACACCCTGCAGCTACTGAGCGTCGGTGGTGGAGGGAGTGGATGCAGTGCCAATCAAGTGGGCTGTTTTGTCCTGGATGGTGTCAAGCTTGAGTGTTGTTGGGGCTGCACTCCTCCAGGCAAGTGGGGAGTATTCCATAAAACTCCTGACTTGTTCATTGTAGATAGTGGACAGGCTTTAAGGAGTCAGGAGGCGAGTTACTCGCCGCAGTATTCCTAACTTCTGGCCTGCTCTTGTAGCCACTGTGTTAATGTGGTGAGTCCAGTCGAGTTTCTAGTCAACGGTAACCCCAAGGGTGTTGATAGTGGGGGAATTCAGTGATGGTAACTGAATGGCAAGGGATGGTGGTTAGATTGTCTTTTATTGGTGATAGGTCATAGCCTGGCATTTGTGTGGCGCTATGTCACTTGTCACTTGTCAGCCCAAGCCGGATATTGTCCAGATCTTCTTGCACGCGAAGATGGACTGCTTCAGTATCTGAGGAGTCATGAATGGTGCTGAACATTGTGCAATCATCTGTGAACGTCCCTACTTCTGACCTTATGATGGAGGGAAGGTCATTGATGAGGCAGCTGAAGATGGTTGGGCCTAGGACACTACCCTGAGAAACTCCTGCAGAGGTATCCTGGAGGCGAGATGATGGACCTCCCACAACCACGACCATCTTCCTGTGTGTCAGATATGACTCCAACTACCAGAGTGTTTGCCCCCTGATACCCATTGATTCCAGTTTTGCCAGGGCTCCTTGATGCCACACTCAGTTGAATGCAGCCTTGATATCAAGGACTGTCACTCTCACCTCTGGCATTCAGCTCTTTTGTCCATGTTTGAACCAAGGCTGTAATGAGGTCAGGAGCTGAGTGGCCCTGGTGGAACCCAAACTGGGCGTCACTGAGCAGGTGCTGCTTGATGGCACTGTTAATGACACCTTCCATCACTTTACTGATGATCGAGAGGAGGCTGATGGGGCAGTAATTGGCCAGGTTGGATTTGTTCTGCTTTTTGTGTACAGGATATACTTGGGCAATTTTCCACATTGTCAGGTAGATGCCAGTGTTGTAACTGTACTGGAACAGTTTGGCTAGGGGTGCAGCAAGTTCTGGAGCACAAGTCTTCAGTACTATTGCCGGAATGTTGTCAAGGCCCTTTGCACTAATCAGTAGCCCCAACCGTTTCTTGATATCACAGAGTGAATCAAATTGGCTGAAGACTGATATCTGTGAAGCTGGAGACCACTGGAGGAGGCCGAGATGGATCATCCGCTCGGCACTTCTGGCTGAAGATTGCTGCAAATGCTTCAGCCTTATCCTTTGCACTAATGTGCTGGGCTGTTCCATCATTGAGAATGAGGATATTTGTGGAGCCGCCTCCTCCAGGGAGTTGTCTAATTGTCCACCACCATTCATGACTGGATGTGGCAGGACTGCAGAGCTTAGATCTGATCCGTTGGTTGTGGGATTGCATAGCTCTGTCTATTACTTGCTGATTTCATTGTTTGGTGTGCAAGTAGTCCTGTTTGGTAGCTTCACCAGGTTGATACCTCATCTTCAGGTATGCCTGGTGCTGCTCATGGCATGTCCCCCTGCACTCTTCATTGAACTAGGGTTGATCCCCTGGTTTGATGGTAATGGTTGAGTGGGGGATATGCCGGGCTATGAGGCTACAGATTGTGCTGGAGTACAATTCTGCTGCTGTTAGTGGCCCACAGCGCCTCATGGATGCCCAGTGTTGAGTTGCTAGATCTGTGTGAACTCTGTCCCATTTAGCACGGTGATAGTGCCACACAACACGACGGAGGTTGTTCTCAATGTGAAGGCAGGACTTCATCTCCACAAGGACTGTACAATGGTCACTCTTACCGATACTGTCATGGACAGGTGTAACTGCAGCTGGCAGATTACTAAGGATGAGGTCTAGTATGTTTTTCCCTCACAACCTGTTGCGGACCCAGTCTAGCAGCTATGTCCTTTAGGACCCAACCAGTTCAAATCAGTGGTACTGCTGCTCAGCCACCCTTGGTGGTGGACATTGAAATTCCCCCACCCAGAGTACATTTTGTGATCTTGCCATCCTCATTGGGGAATACTGATTCATCAGCTGAGGGAGGACAGTATGTGGTAATCAGCAGGAGGTTTCCTTGCCCATGTTTAACCAGAAGCCACGAGACTTCATGGGGTCCGGAGTCAATGCTGAGGGCTCCCAAAGCAACTCCCTCCCGACTGTATATCACTGTGCCACCCCTTCTGCTGGATCGGTCCTGCTGGTGGGTCAGGCCATGTCCAGGGATGGTGACGGTGGTGTCTGGGATATTGTTTGTAAGGTATGATTCTATGAGTATGACAGGCTGTTGCTTAACTAGTCTGTGAGACAGCTCTCCCAATTTTGGCACTAACCCCCAGATGTTAGTGAGGAGGACTGTGCATGGTTGACAGGGCTGTTTCTGCCATGGTCTTTTCTGGTGCCTAGGTCGATGCCAAGTGATCCGCCCAGTTTCTGAGTGGCTTGCTAGGCCATTTCAGAGGAAAGTTGAGAGTCAACTACATTGCTGTGGGTCTGGAGTCACATGTACGCCAGACAAGATGAGGGTGGCAGATTTCCTCCTCTGAAGGGCATTAGTGAACCAAATGGATTTTTCCAACAATTGGCAATGATTTCACAGTGATCAGTAGATTCTTAATTCCAGACTTTTTTTTTTGAATTCCAATTCCACCATCTGCCATGGCAGGATTCGAACCTGGGTCCTCAGAACATCAGCTGGGTTTCTGGTTTAATCGTCTAGCGATAATGCCACTAGGCCATCGCCTAGTGCTATCTCCTTAAGAGCTCTAGGGTGTAGTCCATCTGGTCCTTCATACATTTCAGTTTTTCTAGCACTTTCTCATTGGTGATGGCCACCATACTCACCTCTGTCCCCTGACTCTCGAATTTTTGGGATATTACTCGTGTCTTCCACTGTGAAGACTGACGCAAAGTAATTATTCAGTTCCTCAGCCATTTCCTTGTTCCCAACTACAATCTCTCCAGTGTCATTTTCCAGCAGTCCAATATCCACTTTTGCCCTTGAGATCCAGAGAAACTCTTACAGTCCTCCTTTATATTACTGGCTAGCTTACCCTCATATTTAATCTTCTTCCTTCATATTTCTTTTTTTGTTGCCCGTTGTAAACTTTCCAATCCTCTGGTTTCCCACATTATATGCTTTCTCTTTTGCTTTTATGCCAGCCCTGACTTCCCTAGTCACCCATAGTTGCCTCATCGTCCCTGTACCATCCTCCTTTTCCCTAGGACAAAATTTTGCTGTGTCTCATGAATTACTCTTAGAAACTCTTTCCATTGCTGTTTCATGGTCTTTCCTGCTAGGCTCTTCTCCCAGTCAATTCTGCCCAGCTCCTCCCTCATGCCTCTCTAGTTGTCTTTATTCAGCTGTAATACCGTTACGTCTGAGTCTAGCTCCTCCCTTTCAAATTGCAGAGTAAATTCAATCATATTATGATCACTGCCTCCTAAGGGTTCCTTCACCTTAAGCTCGCTTATCAAGTCTGCCTCATTGCACATCACAAAATCCAATATTGCTTGTGCCCTCATGGGCTCCACCACAAGCTACTCCAAAAAGCCATCTCATAGAAATTCCACAAATTCTTTTCCTTGCAATCCACTACCAACCTGATTTTCCCAGTCCACCTGCATATTGAAATCCCCCATGATCAATGTAACTTTGCCTTTCTGACACACCTTTTCTATCTCCTAGTGTATCTTGCGTTCCAGCTCCAGACTACTGTTTGGAAGCCTGTATATAATTCCAACTATGGTTGTTTTACCTCTGCAGTTCCTCAACTCTACCCACACAAATTCTACACCATCTGACCCTACTTCGTTTCTTACTATTTATTTCTTACTAACAAGACAACACCACCCCTTCTGCCCATCCTTTTCAACAAGATGATGTAGATCCTTGGATATTCAGCTCCCAATCCTGATCCTCTTGCAGCCATGTCTCCGTGATGCCTTCCACATCATATGTGCCAATTTCAATCTGCGCCACAAGCTCATTTACCTTCTTTCTTATACCTTCTATTCCTTTTGTCCTCAAGTATTAATCTAGCTTCTTCTTAAATTCATCAATTTGCTCCAATTACTCCACACGGAAAGGGAATCAAAAGGTAATGGGGGAAAAAGACCTCGAAAAGGGGTAGTCCAGGGTTATCAGTTCAGCCATGATCTCTAGGAATGATGGTGCACACTCGATGGGGCTGAATGGTCTGCCTCTTCTCTTACATCTTAAGATCTCTTATGGTCCTATGTGCCGGCAGTTTCACATTTTAACCACTCTGTAGTAAAGAACTTCTCCTGAACAGATACACTTTTCCACAATTTTTCACTGAAGATATCTAAAATACTTCTCTCTCCGAATTATGCAATCAGTAATGAGCTCTATAGGGACGAAAGGCAAATCTCAAATATATCCTTATTTCAACAAAGTTCAGTAAACTGACAGCAACAGAAATGAACAGATTGTCTTGAGGAAAGACTGGATCAACCCACTTGATTTTATTAGACTTTAGAAAAGCAAGGGGTGGCTTGATTAAAATGTATAAAGATCCTGAATGATCTCGACGAGGTGGAAGAAGAAAGGATGGTTACTGTTGTGGGTATGTCTAGAACCAGGGGTCACTGTTTCAAATTAGGGGTAGCCCTTTCGAAACTAGGATGAAGAGATTTTTTCCCTCTGTGGATCATGAGACTTTGGAATCTCCTCAGAGGCAGTGAAGTCGAGGTCATTAAATAGTTTTAAGGCAAAGTAGATAGACTCCTGTTAGGTAGGAAATCAACGATTAACACAGTGGTGGATGGGAACGTGGAATTTGAAACACAAAGATGAGCCATAATCATATTGAATGTTGAAGTGGGCTCAAGGGTTTGAATGGTCAATTCTTATTTCCAATGTTCTTAGATAGGGTACATGCAATTATAATTGCAATAACATACTGACTACATGAAATGACACCATACAAAAGTAGAGGAAATTGAATTGAGTTAATCAATTTTAATATAGTCCAAGGGAACAAAACAAAGACTTCTCCTGGTGATGGATATTAACATACTTTTGTAGTAAAGTCACAAACATTTCTGTGGATGCCACCATATTAAAAGGAAACTATTTGTGAATTGTTGCAAACAAAAAAAAAAAAAAAATCACAGATTTTGGAATTCTACAAATAATAAAATGTTTTATTAATAAAAATCTCACCTGTTTCAAAGCATTTCAGCAGAAGAACAGGAACACTCTGGCTGCTGTTTTTTGGTTGTTTTGCAATACAGGTATATTCTTCAGGAAAAGAGCGAGGGTTGTTTATCATCAAAGACCTGTTTTTATCAGTTAAGACAAAGTCGTCACTGGGGATCACAGGACTATCAAGATAATTCCATTCAATGGTGATATCAGCATCATCGTTATTTATACCACAAGTGAGAGTAACAACAGAGTCATTTCCAATGCAGCTAGTTTCTGGAATTGCAAGCGGTTCTACAATTTAAAAGAAATGAAAATCAGTTAAATATTCAGTTAAGTATAATAACTTCTGTAAAATCATTGGTAAACTTCCAAATAATATTTACACTCCAGCAACCACACATTGTCATGACAACTCCAAGAAGTGCCCTTCTCACAATAATACTTTTTTTAAAAAACACGAATTCATGTTATGTGGGTACTGCTAGCTGATTGCCCATCCTAGTTGTTCAAGGTGGCGGTGGGGAGCTGCCTTCCTGAAAATGGTGGGGAAGGAAATGAATGTTTACAGCTATGGTGTCAAACAAGCGAGCTGCTTAATCCTGAATGGTGTCAAGCTTCGAGTGCTGCTGGAGCTACACTCAACCAGGCAAATGGGGAGTATTCTATCACACTTCTGATGTGTTCTGTGCAAAAAAAAAAAAAATAGACAGGCTTTGGGAGAGTCAGGAGCTAAGTTAGTCATTGTAGAATTCCTAATATCTGACCTGCTCATGTATTTATATGGATAATCAACTTCTGTGTTTGGTCATTGGTAGCCCCCAGATGTTGGTAGTGGGGGATTCAGCAGCAGTAATGTCATTGAATATCAAGAGGTGATGATTAGATTCTCTTTTTTGGGAAATAGTTACAGTTGGCATTTGTGTGGCACAAACTGTACTTGCCACTTGTCAGCCAAAGCTGGACATTGTCCAGGTCATGCTGCATATGGAATGGATTTCTTCAGTATCTAGTGTCAGAATGCTGTCAGGGTCTATGGCCCTTGTAGTACCTAGTATCTTCAACTATTTCCTAATATCGCCTAAAGTGAACTGAACTAGCTGAATAATGGCATCTGAGGCTGCAGACCTGCTGAGGGGGCCAAGATGGTCTACCTTGATTTCCTACAGAAAAGGATTGAGGGATGACATTCCGACAATTCACTTTCTAGAGGTTTCATCTCTTCAGCTGGATGAGCTGAACTTAGTGAGCAGAATATTGATTGTTGAGGACAACATTAGTAGGAGATCTGTTAAACAATCAAGGTGACTAAAGATTCTGGAAAAGTAGAAGACAGACAACAAGATGACAATACAGGGATTATGAGGAAAACATTTTGGAAGAAAGAGACAATGAATGGAAGCAGATCCCAAAAAGATGCTCGAAAGAGTGAATAGCATGAAGACAGGTTGATGTACTAGATGCCGCATTTTCATAGGGACGGTTAATTCAGAAACGGTGTTCCTGGAGGTTGCCTCGGAATCTGGACACTTGTGGGAAAGAGAAACACAGTAACTGGCGGGTAACAGCCCATTAAGGTTTTTCAGGAGTTTGAGCACAGCTGTTGTGTTCACTACTGTGCTAAACTAAGTTCCTACTGTAAGGACTACATATGATTTTTTTTGTAGTGATAACTGGAAAATGGATGTTTGAACTGCTTTATTGCACAGAATTAACTGTATTTTCATTGCACCTTGAAGGAAAAAAACTGGACCCATGTGGTCACAAATTGGTTACACGAGCATTTTTTTCAAGAAACTGGAACTAACACTTTTGAGACACAAGCTGACATCAGGTATCTTTTGGGTGAAAAGAAGTGACATAGCAACAGCTTCTGAATTGATTTTAATGATCAGTTTATCACAGAATGGAGAGGAGAGAGGGTAGTCGGGCTCCCAGATTCTTCCGGGTGGTACTACTTTTCCACTCTCAAAATCTCTTCAAAAGGAAGAAAACTATCTAAAGGCAAAGTCAAAAGTCACACGACACCAGATTTTGGTTCAACAGGTTTATTTGAAATCACAAACTTTCTCAGCACTGCTCCTCCGTCAGGCGAAGTGATAAAGGAGCAGCACTCTGAAAACTTGTAATTTCAAATAAACGTGTTGGATTAAAACCTGTTGTCGTATGACTTCCGACTTTGTCCACCCATCATATCTCAAGTCAAGACCGAGGTCCAGCTGAGTGGCTATTAAAAATTGAGTATTGCTGTGGTCGACAGCAGGATATCACCACCAATACCAAATTCAAACTGAGAAAAATCACCTCATTTTGCTTTATGGTTTGGCCTCTGGATCCATTGACTTTTGTTTGGAGATTATAGGAGAAAAAACACCAATAAACTGATCCAAGGCAATGATTAGGCCATAGTTGATATAACATGTTCAGTTTCAGGTGCCCTATTAGAAAAACGATAAAAATTATATAGCACAGAACATGAGGATAGAGCATGTGATGGGAAATTATTATAAAGGAGACACTTCAGATTCTGGGACTATTTTTACTGGAGAAGGATCAGTCAGAATTTCAAAGAAGCTTTTAGTGCATGAAGGATTTTGACAGAGTCAACAGGAAAAGTGCATTTTCTCTCACTGGGAGGAGGGACATGCCAAGTAATAAAAGGCTTACAATTTCCCAATCACTAAAAGAATTCCGGGAGCCACGGTGACTGATTGGCACAACCACTGCCCAAAATAAAAAGTTACTTGTTGATTCAACTGAATTTAAGGAAGAAGTGGGCATTTACCTGGCGTAAGAAACATAGGGACCTGCCTCAGTTATTCTCAGATACAGCAGCAATAGTTAGTTACCCAGGTGTCTGAAAATCTTATTTTTAGGGGTGCAACAAGTTTCCCCAAATAATCTTAATTGGGTGTTTGTACTGGATGTAGCAAGCAATAGACCATCATAATACTTACCAAGCACTTTTAGGAAGAATTCTTTTTTTGTAATTGTTCCATTAGAAAATATGAAATCTAGTGTGTAACTTCCAGTATCATTCTTCTGTAATCTCTGTATCAAAACACTCTTGCCTGTAAAATTAATGTTCTGCGAAAATGCGCCAAAATAAGTTGTACCGCCGTCTTCCCATTCAAATACTTTGCGGTTATTGAGCTTGAACACAATTTCAGATACATCAGTGGGTTTTGACAAAGGGACAGATACAAAATCGTTCAAGAATCCATAGATGGTTTCAATGTCTCTTGTGCTACATTTAGAAACTGGAAGAAAAGAAAATGTGAACAATTATATTAAAAATGCATTTATAAAAATAAGTTGTCACTAAACCTTGGATAACAGGGGAAATTATCAGCTTAGTCAAAAAAAAAGGGAAGCATACCCAACGTCTAGGTAACTAAAAACAGATGAAAATCCTTGAAGAATACAGAGAAAGTAGGAAGCAGCTCAATCAGGAAGTCAGGAGGGCTAAAAGGGGCTATGAAATGTCCTTGGCTAGCAGTGTTCAGGAGAATACCAAGCTATTTTATACATACAATAGAAACAAAGGGGTAGCTAGGGAAAGAATAGGCCCACTCAACAATAGAAGAGAGAGGTTATGTGTGGAGCCAGAGGACATGGGTGAGATCCTTAATGAATACTTTGCCTTGGTATTCAAAGATGGTTGCGTAGGTCATCATAATGAGGAGGAAGTGTTGGGTCTGTTGAAATTAAGGTAGACAAATTCTCAAGGCCAGACAGGATCTATCCCAGGGTATTGTGGGGGGCAAGGGAGGAAATAGCTGGGGCCTTTACAGATATCTTTGCAACCTCTTTAGCCTCAGGTGAGGTTCTAGAGGACTGGAGAATGGCCAATGTTGTTCCTTTATTTAAGGAATAGAAACCGAGGTAATCCAGATAATTACAGGCCCGTGAGACTGTAGTGGTGGGGAAGCTGTTGGAGAAGATACTGACAGACAGGATTTATTTACATTTGAAAGTGACTGAACTTGTTAGTGATGGGTGGCATGGATGTGTGGGGAAGGTCATGTCTCACCAATTCATTTGAGTTTTGCGAGATGGTGACAAGAATGAATTGATGAGGCAAGGGCAGTGGATGTTGTCTACATGGACTTTAATGAGGCATTTGACAAGGTACTTCGTGGCAGGCTGGTACAGAAGGTAGATCCAGGGTGAGCTGGCTAGATGGATAAAACTGGCTTAAGTCATAGAAGGCAGGAGGTAGCAGTGGAGGGGTGCTTTCCAGAATGGAGATCAGTAACTAGTGGTGTTCCGCAGGGATCAGTGCTGGGACCTTTGTTGTTTGTAATACGTATATATTGTATAAAAATGATGTGGACGAAAATGCATATGGTCTAATTAGTAAGTTTGTGGATGAGAACTGTCAAAGGATATAGGGAGATATAGATAGACTGCAGATTTGGGCAGAGAAATGGCAGATGGAAGTTTAATCCTGACAAATGCGAGGCAATGCATTTTGCAAATTCAAATTCAGCTGTAAATTTTACAATAAATGGCAGAGTGCCTTGATTGAGCGTTGCATACAGCCTTTTGCTGAGTCTATCAGGAACAATGCAAGCCAGGGAGTTGTGATGAGCCTAGGCAGTAGAAACTTGCAGGTCAAGGCTTCTCTGTACATGATGATTTTGACTTTTTCTGTTTGGACCCACTATCAGCATGCAGACTCATAAGCATCTGTGATCAGTTCAAGCTGATATTTGTCGGGGGTGGGAACATTAGAGAATACATCCAGTCTCATTCTAATGGTGATCTTTGTATACATCGGCATCAAGCTGTGCATAGGCCCTCTCTACTCAAACACCAATTTTCACTACATACTGAGGTTCTAACAGTCCCCAGTTTTGCAACGGATGTGTCTGGTGAAGTGGTGAAGAGACCATTGCACATCTCCTTGTGGAACATGAGATAAAGTGTGGAGCTGGAGGAACAGAGCAGGCCAGGCAAAGGAGCAGGAAAGCTGATGTTTTGGGTCAGGACCCTTCTTTAGAAAATTGTGGAACATGCTTTTGCAATGAAGGTGTGAATGAGATGCAGTCATTTTGTCATGGTTCATCCTGGCAGCTCCATGACGCTACAGGCGTGTTCTAGTGACACACACCAAGACAAATATTAACTGTGCTTGGTGGACCATCAACTTGGTGAAAGATACTCTTTGGCCTGCCTGAATCTTGTTGGTCTTCCAGTGCAGAGACCTAACATCCATCAAGTTTACACACTGGCACATTCTAAGGTCCAGCACTAAAAGGTAACGGTAAAGTCACCATAGTCTTACCAGACCATTGGCTGCTCTCTCATTAGAAAGATAGAGCTGGTGAGGGTTAAACCAGAGAGTCATCATGCTTCCGTCAAGGAGGGAGTTTGTGGAGAGTCCTTCATGGTAACCTCAGCCTGTGCAGGAATTGATCCCATACTGTTAGTTGGCTGGATGGCTGGGTTGTGATGCAAAATGACACCGAGCTCACTGATCCCCTGGTCCATTGAGAGTGGGACAGTTGCCACTAAGGTCTAGTTGGGAAAGGCCACATTCTAAGATCTTTCTACCATCATACACAGGGGATCTCGTTAGTGCACTCCTTGAAGCTTCTATGGAAATGTAAATAGTTTCTTGCCATATTTAATAAATGTTACATATTACATTACATTTGGATTGAGCCACCTAGCATTGCAAACACTCAAATGAGGAACACCATAGTTTTACAGTATTTTCGACCATGTCTAAAGTGAAAGTAATGTACTTTAGATAATTTATGAAAAATGTATATTTTTGCAAAAAAATTTATGCCTATATTCTCAGGAATTTAGAAGAATGAGACGTGATCTCAGAGACATACAAGATACACGGAGAATGCTTCTGCTGGTCTGGGAACCCAAAACACAGGGGGTACAACTCAGGATAAGGAACTGATCAATGAGAACCATGATGAGGAGAAACTGTTTCAGTCAAAGCACTGTGAATCTTTGGAATTCTCTACGCGAGAAGGATGTGGATACTGCATGGCTGAATGCATTTAAAGCTGGGTCAGATCTGCAATCCAGGATCAGCCATGAATGTCCTGAATGGTGAAGTTGACTCAACAGGCCATGTAGTCCAAGCCTACTCCTATTTAGTGTGTTCTGGAAGAACATTTTGTTCCATTGTTCAACACTTACAAACCAAAGAACTGAAAATCTGCTCCAGATCTCAAATATATCAAGGTGGGGTAAGTTCCCCCAAAACACAAGCTATAACAATTTGGTTACTCCCCGCTCCGTAAACAATACGCTCATTTGTGCATTTAAAAAAAACATTGGTCCACCCCTTAAAAGCAGTGGAAAAACCCATTTTATTCAAAAAGCATTGCTTTGCACATCACCAAATTGACTTAGTATATGAGCAACAGTCTTTGCTCCTTCACATTTGTGTTATGAAATTTCCCCAAAATTTCCCCGAGGACTCTGTAGCCCAACGTACATGCACTCAGAAGAGCAACTGTACAGCTGCCGGGTGGGTGGAAGAGAAGCAGAAATACTCAAGATAGAATCAGAGCTCGTGCTGATCCCAGCCATGTGTATGCTGGATAGTAACCCAAAAAAAATCGAGAATGCTCCAAAGCAAATGGAGGCCGAGATCATTTGCAATAGCTAAATTTATCAAGGACATGCTCTGTGTTAAAGGCTCACTATCATAGCAGCTGACATGCTGCTGAGACAACAAGGTGCAGGGCTGGATGAACACAGCAGGCCAAGCAGCATCATAGGAGCAGAGAGGCTGACGTTTCGGGCCTAGACCCTTCATCAGAAAAGGGGGAGGGGAAGGGGGTTCTGAAATAAATAGGGAGAGAGAGTGGGAGGCGGATAGAAGATGGATAGAGGAGAAGATAGGTGGAGAGGAAACAAACAGGTCGAAGAGGCGGGGATGGGGCCAGTAAAGGTGAGTGTAGGTGGGGAGTTAGGGAGGGGATAGGTCAGTCCAGGGGGCGGGATGAGGTTAGTCGGTAGGAGATGGAGGTGCGGCTTGAGGTGGGAGGAGGGGATAGGTGGGAGGAAGAACAGGTTAGGGAGGCAGGGACGAGCTGGACTGGTTTTGGGATGCGGTAGGGGGAGGGGAGATTTTGAAGCTTGTGAAATCCACATTGATACCATTGGGCTGCAGGGTTCCCAAGCGGAATATGAGTTGCTGTTCCTGCAACCTTCGGGTGGCATCGTTGTGGCACTGCAGGAGGCCCAGGATGGACATGTCGTCTGAGGAATGGGAGGGGGAGTTGAAATGGTTCGCGACTGGGAGGTGCAGTTGTTTATTGCGAACCGAGCGTAGGTGTTCTGCAAAGCCTGGTTTAACTTAAGCTAGTAAAGAAATTGTATTATCAATTTCTTGTAAATGTGACCAATGGTGCTGGTAGCAGCCACACTTACAGAATATTCAAGTAAACAGTGCTCACAATAATAATTTCATTGCCCAATTTAGCTTCAGAGACCATATCCTCTCCCTCAGAATGACCATCCATTTTCATCTTTGTAACACTGTCCATCTCAGAACTGGTCTCTAATATGGTCATATATAGCTTTGTCACCAGTCTCAACTACTCCAGGCATTCTCTTTTCTGCAAGTTCACCCGTCAAGAACCCCAATTTGTACAAATTCTGTAACATGCCAAGACTCATTCAGTTAAAACTCTTTTCTTTACTAATTGATATCAGCTCTTCACTCCTCCCCATACACATTAAATTTAAATTCCTTATTTTTATTTTTATTGATACAAGCATGAAACAACACTGGGTCGGAAACACTGACTTCACCCCATCCCATCTATACAACTGACTATAATCCTTTATCCCACCTACTGAACAATCTAAATCCTTTGTTATACACTTGCCATGCATCTTGCTTCCCAAAACCTCCGTGAAACTTCATCCAATCAGCTATTTGTAACATTCTTTCTGGAATCCTTCAGAAAGAAAGAACAGTCGATCATTAAACTCCTCAAGCCCACTCAGCCATTCAATGAAATCATAGCTGATCTTTTATCTCAACACATTTTCCTGCACCATCTCCATATGCCTTGATATTTTAATATCTAGAAATCTGTTGATCTCTATCTTGAACTTACTCAACAACTAAATTTCCAAAGCGCTCCGGACTGAAGAAATTCATCCTCATCTCAGTCTTAAAAATGGCCTAAACTTTATTCTGAAACTCTGTCCTGTGGATCTAAAGCCTTCAGCCAGGAAAAACATCCTTCCTGCATCTACCCTGTCAACCCTC